TGAGGCGGCGTACGATGAGGCGGCCGAGAGTACTTAGGGCGTGCGAGACCTAAGCTTCTAGATTTTCTTGGAGTGCAAGTCAAGCATTAGTATTATAGTAATATTAGGATTTTATTGTTTTCTAGTATTAGGTTTTCTATTATTGCAAGATTTAGGAGATCTAGTTTATTTAGGCTTAGATTTATTTTATGCACCTATAAATACCCCATGTACTCATCATTATTGAATGTCTTGAATGTCTTGAATTGAATTGGTGAGCCAACTGTGAGGGGAACTTATGTTCTTACGTGTGTTTAAACAAGGCCATTAGTGCGTGTTTACATACAGTGTCGGAGAGAAGGCCATTTAGAGCGTCTTGAAGTCACAGTGTCTAGGAGAAGGCCGATAGTGCGTCTGTTAGATACACCTCTCATGAGTAATCGAAGGCCCTGAGTGAGCGATTATTCACAACCCAAGTATAGACAGAAATTCGATCCGTCATCATTGGTGCTTTCATTGAGAGGTGCTGATCGTATTTTTGTCTATCTATTTTTGTTCTTTTTTCGGTTTTGCCTTTTGCTAAAGGGGCCGAATTTTTTTTTCTTTTTTGGTTCAAAATTTTTGAATTTTTTCTTCGAACTTTTCATATTTTTTCGTGAGTCTTAAAAAAAAAAAGTGTCATCTAGTCCTTTGTTTTATATTTGTTCGGTTATTACCCTTGTTGAGGGGCGGAATTTCTTTTGTTTTTTATTGTGGTTCGAAATTTTTGTTCGAATTTATTCTTAGAGTAAAAAAAAATGTGTTACCCACCATTGGATGAGTTAGATTGGGAAGATCATGAGATGTTGGAGGGTCTGGAAAGAGAGCTCACACCATGGGAGAAAACATATCTAGATGAGCTTCATGAGCGAATGAATATAGAAGAATACGAGCCACAACTCGTAGAAGCCCGAGAAGCAATGGTGATAGATGCTCAAGACCGTGAAGATGAAGGAGCGCTGAATTTTCTAATCCTTGAGGACAAGGAAAGTCTTGAAGAGGAGGGGAATGATACG